GCAATTTTTTTCTCAATCAGGAAGTTAAATTGACTTCTTGTTGCTGTGTAAGGTTAGTTATTGTTTAAAGAAAGTCTCTAGAAACCTAAAGCAGTTGGAAAATGAAAAAGCGTAAAACCCACAGAGGTTAATTTCACTTGAATTTCCTTGAGATAAATCACAACTTTCACTAATTGATGCCATTGTGGAATATCTTTAAAGAAAGAGAAAAGAAAATAATAATGCCTTTGCAACAAAAAAGATGAAGATTTCACTAAAAAATTTTTGTTTCATTAATGACTTCCTGAAGAAAGAAAGACAGACAGAAATAGGATGCAAGAAAAGGCTGACATTGATATTTATAATATGTATGTATGAATACAAGTATCTGTACCTAAAGAACCCCCAAAGACTCTCTCAAAAAGCATAGTCTGTTTACATGAATTCTAATATTCCCTTGCCATCAGCCTTATTAGGACTGAGAAGTTCAAAAATTTGCAATAAACTTAGGTACACCAAGTCTGCATAGGGTGTAAATACATGCACATCTTCACAGTAAATGGTAGATCATGGTAGAATGGTAAAGACTGGTAGAATTTACATATCTAAGTCCTTAGAGCTCTTGGAAAAACAAGGCCCCCACAAGAAGGAGAACAAGGCTATGGTGGGGAAGTGCCAGTAGGGTTTGGGTGTTGTTAGTCAATGATGCAGGAAATCAGGATGTCACCTTGAGCAGTGTTTTATGTAAGGACTGATGTAGAATCAGACATATCACTGTCCAGAGCTCTGTGCAGCTGGGCTGGCTTTTTTCTCATCTAACGTGTATCAGGTGCACCATAGTATCTCTTCAGGTCTCAAGTTCTGCTAAAAAGGAAAGCTGTGCAGAATATATGATAATTAAATGAAATTATCTTTTTAGTTTTTTGGTCTTAGACCTCATGGATATATTTTTGGTTTTAGGAATTTGAAAACAAACTGTTTCTAGCTTTGCACCTTGTCCCACAATCAGACATTGCTTTTGCTTATTACAGAGGAAAAGAAAATGCAAGGGAACTTATCAGGCTGGGAATGATCATAGAATATCCACTCAAACATAATACAAATTTGTGTCTGTAAAAATCGCCGCTAGGTATTTGTGCATAGATTTTGTTAAAAGCAATTATTACATCATTCATGCTGCAATATTATCCCTAATCTTTATCCACTGACTTGCAGTGACAACTAGTTATCACTTTGGAAATAGACCAGCTCCCATTTTGAATTGCATTATGACACCAGTTTACCTATGTCAAAATAATGTGAGAATGTCAGCTTGCAGTTGGCAAAGTACTGTGAGGACTAACAAGACATTATTTTTAATCTGTGAGCTGTTCCTACCTTTCAGTAATGGACTCTAGTAATTCTGCCCATTGTATTTGTGACTGAGTTGCCTTATCATGGCCAAAATATTTTAAAACAATTCAGACTTCATTTGCAGACTGTTACTATCTATCTTGCATCCTAAGTTTACAAATAATGTTTAAAAATGAAAACTAGCTGAAGCGTGATCCATGGACTGGAAATCCACCATTTGAGCATATACAGAGCATGTAATGGCTTGCAATAGCAATCTTCTCTCCATCTTTTCAGTATCTCAGTGTACCTTAGGCCTTATTCTTTTCAACTACCTCTTAGAAGTGATCAGGCTTCCTGAGACCCTCTGGTTAATAAATTAAATCTGTATGAAAACATACTGGCAACAAAAGACACACATAGGACATATACTGTCATATGAATGAATCATCACTTCAAATTAGGAAAAATTATTTCCAGCATTAACACTGCTCATGACAACCTATTTTGGCAGCAAAAAAAAAAATCACAAGATAGATATTTTAAAACACTGCGCAGCTCTGTCTCATATAGATTCTCCTCTCCCACCCTAGTACTTGAATGCCTTCCAGAAGCACATTAAGCAACATGACTAATGTCTGTCTCATCTTCATTCTTTTACTTGAAGCTGAAAAATTACATTATTTTTCAAAACTACCTGCAAGTTGATGAAATATCATCTTTGCAATGAACATAACATTTTTACATTACTGTGAAGACCATGGCAAAATTCGACCTTTGCAGAAGCACACACAGTTTCTACTGATATAAGTGAACAAGTGCTCAGTTACACCAGGACACAGTTTCTATACATAAGCACTGCAAAGCAGACTACCTTCTTGATATATGGGAGATTTGCAGACTAGAACAGCAAGAAATCCTTCACAGTAGCATTCATTTTGCTGGATGGGAGTTGATTGAGAAATTAGCACAACATAGGAGATCTCTTTCTGTCTGGAACTAAAAAGGTATCCAATTTTGCAGTTGCTGTTGATTTATTATTCTGATCCTGCATGGGGTTACTGATGCAGATAGTACTCTTAACTGTCTTTTGTGTCAGTGTACAAAAGACTAACACTCCAACTTTTCAATGGCATAATTTACCTTTAGCAGTGGCTCTCGAAGACTAGAGACCTGTAAGACTAAAATTTAAATAACTGTGCTGCTGTTTAAAGGACATTAGCTTTCCTACAGAATTAATATGTATGGCTTCACATTTGGGACTAGCATGAAATTTAAGCTTGTGGAGTTATTGGAAATGTTTATACCACAGTATAAATAAAGATTGTGACCAGCATGGACCACATTGTGCTGGATGCTGTACAAGCAGAGAATAAATATCTACCCCTCCCTGGAAAGTTTGGTTGGCTTCCAACAAGCTGACTGTGAGACTGCTAAATAATACACCCACACAAAGAAAGAATAAGCTAATAATCTCTGACAAGAGGAGCTGTCAGCAAACTCAGTTAAGCTTTGCTGTGACTGACTTATGCAGTGGTATGATCCTTTAAAATAAAGAGTGGGATTCCCAGTATAGCTATGGATTGTGAGGAGCCAGCATGTGAGTTGTTTATAGCAGCCTCCCAGCATATATAGGCTGTTGTCAATTCAATTGCATTGGTGGGAAAGCCTGTCTCCAGTCTTAAAACAAACTTTAATTTGAGCCCCAGGTTCTCTGCCATGTTTTTGCTTTCTGGGTTGTGTGACTGGAGAATTAGATTTATTCAGCAGTGCAGTCAGTGTGCATTATTTCTAGAAGAAGAAATGCTGAATGTACAAAATAGTAATCATGGTGATTTAGATGTCAAAGATACCACTAGATCAGGGCTAACAGTGAAAAAAAGCTTTGTTTCCTTTTTCTCCTTAACAGAAGTGTATATGTTGCGGACATCAAATTATTACATTTGGCAACAAAATTTTTATTATTGGTGTCATTTTTTCCCCCTTTTTTTTTCTTTTTTTTTTTCCTTTTCCCTACATAAACTATTTGGCAAAAGCATATCCTTTTCTGAAAGTAATTTATTCCTTATGAAGAGCTGCAGTTTTAATGACAATTTAGACATTGATATATTTATTAGACTATAATTTCCCTTTAATAAATGCTTTGATGTAGCAAGTATGTTCTCAGTGTTCTGTGTATACATTTCCATAATAACCCCTTTCCAGTTATCTGGGAGATAAAAGGCTGCAGTTCTGCACAACTTCTGCCAGAAATAAGAGATTTTTTTTCTTACTGAGTCTTTGTAGACTGGTCCACAGTGTTTGGTGTATTCTGTTTTCATCTGATCACAGTTGCAAACCCTCAAATTTAGTGTAGATTTTTTCTTACTTAGTCTTAATTTTTGTCCTGTCTTTAGCATTGCAGTGGTTTTACATTTTTATAAGTCACTGTAGCCATAGCAGAGCCCTGCGTTAAAGGAGTATTCACATGATAGCATTAGCCAAAATTGTGAGAAGTCAGCACATCCCTGCTGTTAGCACACACAGATGTGTCTGTGAGCAGTGTCCACAAATTAAGAATCTGGTATCCCAGACCTGGTGTGTATTGAATCCTGCTTCACTGCAAATCACTTAACTGCAGCCATTACACGTTTTGCCAAAGATATTGCCATCTCTGCCTTGCTGTCTGCAATGCCTCATTTACAAACCACAGGACTCTTTTCCAAAGTGGTTTAAGAAGATTGACAGCAAGTCCTGTAGAAAGATGGGATCTTCTGAAAGCCAGGAGATACTATTTCTCCTTTGGTCAGGTGGGTTTAAAGAACTGCTGTACATGTTCAGTGAATTTTTTTTGGGAAATCCTAAGTAACATATTGCAATTAAAAAATCTGAATAGAAGAGATTGTTAAATATTTGTACTTTATCCCATGGGCTCAGTTTCCAGTAAGAATAATTTCCACGAGCCAAAATTTAGAATTTGTTTATGGTTTAAGCCTCAGTAGATAAAAGGCACCGAAGAAATTGTCTGAAATCCTTTCAAGAAAACCTTAATGTCTGCATCTCCAAAATAAACAACTAACACAGACTGGAATTAGTAGGATGGTTGTGACATAACTGGTGAAGGGTTCTAGCACTGCTCTCCACTAGAGCAAAAAATTATTGAAGATACTAACATATTTTTACCATTACCTAGACATGTGACACTTTTAAGAAGGATCCTTCTCATTTCCATTCAAGTCTCTTTCTAGTTCTCTTCAAGAATATATGCAAATAACTATTCAGATTTATTTCCAGGGTTTGCTTCTACATTGTAAAGGCTTGATCAAAGTGGAATCTAAATTCTAAAATAATTACATTTTCAGTTAAATCATCATATTTAGTGACTGCTTTTAGCTTAGAAGACTTAGTGTAATGGCTGTGGAGGGACAGGGATTGCTATGTTCAAATAGTATGCGAAGAAGTGGAACAACCCGCACTGAAGTTCTTTTAAATGGGTTTTTTTGCTCAGTGTTATAGGCTTTGCATCTTTTGACCTTGATAGGGAATTCAGTTTATACTCTATTTTTCCTTACTTCCAAATGATGAATTTCACTAGTAAAGTGCTGTGGTATCAACCTATTAACACAAATTATGATGAGTTAGGAGTGCAATAAGAAGACCCCTCATACCTTGCTGTTATGGCCACTAACACCTGCTTGTTTTCCCTGCAGAGTTTTTCCGAGAACTTCTGGAGAACGCGGAGCGCTCCTTGAACGACATGTTTGTCCGGACGTACGGCATGCTGTACATGCAGAACTCTGAGGTGTTCCAGGACCTCTTCGCCGAGCTGAAGCGCTATTACACGGGAGGCAACGTCAACCTGGAGGAAATGCTGAACGACTTCTGGGCTCGGCTGCTGGAGCGGATGTTCCAGCTTATAAACCCCCAGTACCATTTCAGCGAGGACTACCTGGAGTGTGTGAGCAAGTACACAGACCAGCTGAAGCCCTTTGGAGACGTGCCCAGGAAGCTGAAGGTTCAAGTGACTCGAGCGTTCATTGCTGCCCGCACCTTTGTTCAGGGGCTGACAGTAGGCAGAGAGGTTGCCAACAGAGTGTCCAAGGTAATCTGAAAGCAGGGTGGGGTTTTTCTTAGCTTGAATTTCTTCTTAACTTGCCAGCCAATTGAAATCTGTCTTTGTGGTTTGTTTTTTTCTCAGTACAAGGAGGTGTGTTTGGTTGGTTTTTATGCCTACCAATATACCAATCTTAAGTTCATAAATAGGGGCAACTGTTGTTTTCAGTTCCTTCTGGGGATATTAAGGCACTACTGACTGGAAAGCATTTCTCTGTGCTTAGGACACAGTGAAATACCAATATACATCAATGTTATAGCATGGTAATGATTGCCATTTGTAATTCAAAGCTGGCTACATATATAAAAGATGGGGATTTAGATCAGAATTTAAATGTTTCAAGCAAATTTATTCTGCTGTTCATTAGAAAAGTACAGCCCTCACATCATTCATTTATCATGCAGCTGGGTGATGGATTTTGTTAGAAATGTCTAGTCATGTTTCTGACGAGAAAATAGACAAACAGTGACACCTCTGAAGCTTGAGCTTTCCCAAAGGATGGTTTGACTCACATTTATTTTAGGTTTAATTATTTATCTATGCAAATATTTATGACAATTATAATCCTTGAGGGCTTCACATAATTAAAGAAAAAACCATGCAAAAATAAACCATCTGGGCACCAAAAATGTGCCTCAATGATTTTCTCTCATAGAGTATTTCAAAATCAGGTATAATTTTCCTGAATTGGTGTTCCAGCTAGATAGTTGCTCTGTGATCCCACTGTTTCACAGTCCTCGTCGTGTATTTGGACCTTGAATTCTGAAATACTCTCATGAGATCCACTGTGAAATGTTCAAATACTCACTTCTGATCAATAAGTGCATGAGTGGTTTGGATGCTTGGCCCATCCAATACTTTCCCACATTTACAAGCCTAAGCTACTCCTCCACCTCAAGAGGACTGTCTCATTTGCTTCATTTAATCCACAGTCAGAAGGTGAGGTAGAGCCTATACCTTGTACAGTAGACTGCAACTCAGGCACTCAATAAGATGGGGCTTTTAAACTTTTCTTAACCTGTGTTATGTGATCTTTTGTAATTTTAAATTGAGAAGCCATGGAGCTAAAAATGTAGTTAGGAAGGAAGAGCCTGATTTTATGTCTAGGAGACTGCATGGGAGAAAAAGGTAATTTTGCACTTAAAATTCAGTGGATGAGATATGTGATCCTTGCTAGTCAGCTAGAACCACAATCTCTTCCTCCAAGTGCCTTCCTGAGCTTCAGGGTTACCTTTCTGTGATTTCTGGCACTGTTAGTTCTTGCAGTCTTTCTGAATGGTGGCCGGGTATCATGGTGAAACCCCAGGCTGCCTAGTCTAGCTGGGGCAGCTTTTTAGCCTCCAAATGTGCAGAATGCATAAATCTACAGCCCCAGATTTCCTCTGAAGAGAGATGATGTCCCCGTGGGTCAGGTTCTAAGTAAAAGTACAGAACTCTGATGTCGCTGTTTTCTGCAGGCATTAGGTCTTGCTGGATCAGACTGTGGAGAGTAAGCTTTGTAATTCATGTAATAGATGCATAATTTGTGAATCCCTCACAGATTAAGGTCTGAATTGTCTGCTGAGATGTCACTTTCCCTGTGTACGTACATGACTGTACAGACTGTGCAGGTGTCTCCTCTGTCACATATCCAGGAAATGTTTTCCTCTCAGCCTCTGGGCTTTGGGTACATAAGCCCTCTCAAGGAAAGGGTTCATAACAAGATCACTAAATGATCCTATGATCCTATAATGAGAGCTGCTAGCTCTGCAATGATACAGTGGGTCTTTTTGTAGTGTCACTTGAAGATGATAACAGTAGCTCAATAGTGCTTCTGTTGGTTTTTTTTTTCTTTTAACATGAAGGAAACACTTGAAATCATCATTAAAAGGGTTCAAGGGTGCAAGACACAATAATGTCTTTATAGTGATACTCCATTAGACTACATCTAGAACACTGTGTTCAGTTTTTGGCCCTTCTTGTACAAAAAAGACATTGAAGCAAGTTCAGTAGAGGCTGCCCTCAGGATCTGGACTGGATTACTTGTCCTTGAGCCTGTGGGACTGGGACTTCTTCATCCTGGAGAAGAGGCTACTTCAAGGGCAAGTAGCAGTGTTCCTGGTGCCTCTAGGGAGGTCATTAAAGAAAAACAGCAAAGCTCTTTACAGTGGGGCATGGTGTGATATGATGGACGTGAGTTAATGCATTTTCTCTTCTCCTATCACAGCAGGGCCTAATGAAAATCCCATCCCCATCTTCTTATAAGTGCCCTTTAAGTGCTAGAAGGTTGCTAATCAGATCTGCCTGGAGCTTCTCTTCTGCAGGCTGAGCAACCTCAAATCCCTCATGTCTTCACAGGAGAGGTGCTCCAGCCCTCTGACCATTTTTGTGGCCCTCCTCTGGACCCAGTACAACAGTTCCATGTCTTTCCTGGGATGCTGAGGATTCCAGAGCTGGATTTATTAATCCAGGTGGGGGTCTTCTGAGAGCATAGTACAGGTGACCTGCTGGTCAATTTCTTTAGGATCACTATCCTATGATCCTATTAAAAAATTAATAAGATCAACATTTTGCTTAAGTGTAGAATATACTTTGATTGCAGAACTATCTTTGATATTAAAATCTTGGTGGATTTATTCATACCCACAGCATATGCAAAACAATTTCTGGCCCTAGGGACTTTGTGTTACATGCAGCCTGGTGAGGCAGATATGAAGAGCCCCAAGTGGCACCAGATATTCAAGATTAATAATTGTCCTGTGGAAAGGATGTGATTGCTCTGAGAATGAATAGTTTGTTGCCATATCATAACTGTGGACTTTTATGCTGGTTTATCTCCTGTAGAAAATGACAAATCCTTTTCTTTAAACATAATTTTAAAAGACTACAACCATTTCTTAGACTTAGCACATAACTGCAGCCAAAAATGAGACAGGTAAACATCTTTTGTTGTTATTTTGAAAGTCATCCAAATTCAGCACAGATTTCTGTCTCATTGTACTCTAATATTGAGAGATTCTGTGATAAGGATGCCACATCTGGATAAGTCAGGAGAAATGAATAAAGACAGAAAATGAAAGAAAGAACTGTTGCAGTTCTTCTATAAAATCCTTTGTCCATTTTCTGCACTGGCTGGGAACAGAGGGGGATCTTCTACCTGCAACATCACAAGCTTAAAAGATTTTTTGCTTTCTATTTGTGGACCCATTATTTCACTGAACTGCCACTGACATAGAGAAATGTTGAGCCTACACCTTAAACACCATGAGAAAGAGAGTGACTAATGAGAAAGTTGTAACATCTCCTTTGGGCCTTTATTGTCTCATCATCTTCTGGACCATTTCTGTAGAGGGTTGGTGGGTCACACACGAAGGATTTGTTCCCTCTCTAATGTCAGGGACATATCCTTTCTAATTTTTCCTCAGAGAGGTTGTAATGTCTGAAAACAATGCAGTTGGTGTATTCCTTGCAAAGGAGCTACACTTCCTTTATTTCAATGATGTGTGCCCTCAAGCACACTCAAAGGAGGCAACATATATCACAAACATTTTCCTCTTACAATAGGATTTTGCAGTTTAGCAATTTGCTTGTGAGTGAGATTATAATTTAGTAAGTCACACTTAGATAAATGGGGAGGGAGGGTGGTTAGGACACCTTATTTTTGTATTTTTTTCTAATATTGTATTTCAGTTACAAGCAGACACATTTGCTTCCATCTGCCTGAAGTTTTATTACGCTGTTTTAGTTGAACAGTATTTTCATGATCTCTAAGTCTAGTTACAATTTTTAATCTTCAGAGATGTTTAAATCTTTTTATTTCTCATTCTAATGCATTAAATTTCTCAGTGCTATGTTCCTATGCTGCTTAAATCTCCTCTCAGTACAGTATATTTCCACTGGCTTGAATGGACCAGCTTGCTAAATTATATATATATATTCTAGAAAGTTGCAGAGGCATATGAGCAAAAAGTAATTATTTCTTAAATTGAGAATATAAACTCTTAATTTAAATCAATTTATTCATTAATATAGAAGAATTCCTAAAATATCTCAAGTTGAAAAGTCCCTGTAAAGATCAACTCCAGCTCCCTGCTGCTTGCAGGACTAACTAGAAATAAACCATATGACTAAAAGCTTTATCCAGATGCCCCTTGAGCTCTGACAGGCTTGGTTCCATGACCTCTTTCCTGGGGAGACTGTTCCAGTTACCAACCATCCTCTGAGTGAAGAACCTTTTCCTGATGTCCAATCTGAACTTGCCCTGATGCAGGTTCAATATATAATATTCAATATACAACATCAGAACTGCCACTTTTGGTATGTCAGAGGTCTGTTTAGTTGATTTTACCTCAGTGGCAGTAGTTTAAAGGTCAGTGTAGGAGCAGAGCTTCTAAACTACTATACTTTCTTAAGCTATAGGTAGTAGATGTTTGTGGACATTTTGAACTACAGTTTCAGAAATAATACGTTAAAAATTTTCCACTACCTGTTTTTTTCAGTACTTTTTTAGGTTCTAAAAACCTGGCTTTTCTGTTTTGATACTATTTGGTAAAAAAATTAGTTCTGTCCTTCCCTGTTCCACTGGAAAAGTATAGCATATTCGCATGTTATCATTATTAAATTTGCTTGTTATCAACTATTTTCCTAGATAAAATAAATAAATAAACTAAACTAAACAAAAAAACCCCCAAGCCTTCCTGACAAACTGTGATTTAGTATCTAATGTTAAGCTGGATAAGCTGCTGAAAATATTTCTGTAGTTACTCTTAGCTGTGATTACCAATAATGTGATAGAAAAGACACATGCATACTTTTCATGTTCATCTTTCACTGTGTCTGAGCTCTGGACACTTTGTGAGAAAATAATGCTAAGTTATTCTCTCTGACTCCAAATGAAGCATTTTCAGTTATCACAATAATCCATTTGAACTGTCACTGAGTGGTGGAGGGTGTAAGCAGAAAAACACATGGGGAATTAAAATTTTTAAACAGGAGGGTCCAGGATTTCC